CTGGTGCTCACATTATTCAGTTTAACCCATTGACTGGCAGCAATTTTAATAAACATTAGTGCAATAATGATTGAGAAGGACAAAAATAAATATTATAGTTAAGATCTTATTACAATCAAAGCAACTCTTTTTACAGCAGAGACAAAAAACAACCAGTAAAGCCCACCAAGAAAAATTACCTCTGAACACGGTACACTCGTGTCCATGGTGGTACAAGAGCCAGAATTCTAGCCACCAAATCCACTAAGGTGCTTGGAGAATAACTCTTGTATCTTCCAGACTTCCAGAGCTCATACAGGCCAGTACCACGGATCACCAGAGTTGGGTAGAGTTTCATGCCATCGGGGCGAAAAGAAGGGTTCTCAAAAAACTCCTGTAAACACAGAACACAAGTGCAAATCAGAAACCAAAGCACTAGCTTCCTGGGGCTTTCAAACCAGAAGCTCTTTAAAAAAAAAAATTCAAGCTGCATCAGAAGGATAGATGCTTAAAGCACAATTATGAGAATGTATGTTCAATTTAAAAAGGCGGTCTTACATTCCGTTTCTAATATTTTTATCAGTCTAAAGACTTATTCTTAAATGTAGAGGATTATACTTTTTTATAAAAGAATAAGATCGCTGCAGAAAAATTCACACAAGGGGAGGATACAGATTTCACCAGACTTCAATATGAAGTCAATAGATATCTGAGCTGTATTATTCATTGTAATAGAATTTTGCCCAGAATCAGAACAATATTAAGGAATGGGCATATCTTCACTCTCTGTGGACAACATTCAGAGATTACTCAATATATCCAGGATACATCAACTGAATAGTAATATGAAAACAACTGAAACCGCATGTCACTATACGCTGAGCAATACTGGGAAGGTGGAACAAACAGCACCTACTACTCACTTATCCATGTCTAAATTCCAGTACACAGCTCCAAAGTGAAAACCTCCAAACTTCTATGGTCACTGGAAGCCATTAGGCATGTATAGTGTGCAGAAAAGTTATGAAATACTGTTTTACTACAAATAAAATTCCAGTAACCACAACTAAGGTCATTAGTCAAAAGCTAAAAGATTGATTAGAAGCACTGAGTCAATTATCTCACATTTGTCTATCTAAGATACTCTCATCACTGTAGTATCTCACAATCATTAATGGATTTTAATCTGACACCACCATTTATGAAGTAGGAAAACGTTATCCCAATTTTACTGATGAACTGAGACACAGGATATAATAAGTGACTTGCACATGGTCACACAAGTAGTCTGTGGCTGAGCTGGGAACAGAACTCAGATCATATCAGTCCCATTCCAGTTCCTGAAAAACAAGACCATCTACTATCTAATTTACCATCCTCATTAGGATGGAAGACCAATGAATTCTGAAGCATGTTTACCCAGGAATACCGCTACATGGCCAGAGACAATATTGTGAGAAAACTGTGTAATGAATTGTATTAGTTATATATATATATATATATATATATATGACTAATACAATTCATTACACAGTTTTCTGTGTATATACACACACAGTGTGTGTGTGTGTATATACACACAGTGTGTGTGTGTGTGTGTGTGTGTGTATATACACACAGAAAACTATTCTGAAATATATATATATATACACACTGTGTATATGTGTGTGTGTGTATACACACACACACACACACACACACACACACAGTGTGTATATATACACACACACACACGGAGGGGGGAAGAGAGAGAGATTAATATTATATATGATATTATAACAAAATAATACATATAATAATGGAATTTTTGCTTGTTAAATGTGTCTACTGATGCAGCATTTAAGAACTGAGCTGAAACAGTTTCAGGGTTGTGTAAATCATTAAAACTGGTTTGTGTGTCTTATTTGTAAAATCTTTGGTCTGTGTAAATAGAGGGGTGAAGCAGAGAGTCATGGTGCCCCCACCCAATAAACGAACAAGTAAAAATCCAAGGCCACAAAAACAGACAAGTAAGATAAGTACTGGATACACCCAGGGGGGTTTACAGCACAGGACAGAAGTAGACAGATAAAAGTAAGTTTTAACAAAATAAACAAAAATGTATTAGTTTAGGTTAGTTATTGTGATTTATGAATGAGAATGTTCTAATTAGACAGGTACACAGATGAGATAACTTAGTAAACTGAGTCTGTGCAAAGTTACGGAACAAGGGATAAAATACAGGTGATTGACAATAGAAGAGCGGAGAAGACACAGGGGAAGAACATAGCAGAGCCCAGAGATTTGAAAAAAGAGTCACCCTGTCACCAGGACAGGTAACTTGATTACCTTTCTTATCTTAACTGGTTTTGCATTATGTGTAATTCATAGGTGATAACAGCATTGTCTTAAAACATGCAAAATAAAGGCTATAAGAAACTGTTTAAGCCTACACTGAAATGGATCTCATCTTTCACCAAACAACGTGCTCAGCAAAAGCTTTGGTGGTGCGGTAAGATCACCAATGATGGCCACCAGTTGAATATCCAGCCATATTCAGTCCTGGAACCTTAGTCTATGACAGGGATCGGCAACCTCGGCCCACGCCGCTTCCCGCAGCCCCCATTGGCCTGGAGCGGTGAACTGCGGCCAGTGGGAGCTGCAATTGGCCGAACCTGCGGACGCAGCAGGTAAACAAACCGGCCCGGCCCACCAGGGTGCTTACCCTGGCAAGCTGCGTGCCAAAGCTTGCCGATCCCTGGTCTATGACAAGTCACAATTCTTGGGAAGGTTTTGTTTTGTTTTTAAAATCTTTTCTGTTGTGGCCTTCTGAAGTGAAAGAGTCTTTTACCAAAAAAAGGATTCAGTCAAGTCCCAGTTCAGCAGAAACCCTTTTATCCCAAAGTTTTCATGAACCAACTTTTCGTTATGGTCCCCAAAGTATTTCACATGTCAAAATTAAATGATGTTAGGATGTCATCTCAGCCGTGTCACGAAAAGTGAAAGTAATAATACTTTGCATACATATACATGGTAGCAATTTTCATAATCTCAAAGCATTTTACAAACAGAGCCACAAAACATCCCAGTGAGTCAGGTAAACAACACTGGACACATTTTTGGAACAGGCAACCTGAGGCACAGAAAGATCAAATGTCTCACCCAATGCCACATACGAATAGAATCATAGAATATCAGGGTTGGAAGGGACCTCAGGAGATCACCTAGTCCAACCCCCTGCTCAAAGCAGGACCACTTCCCAACTAAATCATCCCAGCCAGGGCTTTGTCAAGCCGGGCCTTAAAAACCTCTAAGGAAGGAGATTTCACCACCTCCCTAGGTAACGCATTCCAGTGCTTCACCACCCTCCTAGTGAAATAGTGTTTCCTAATATCCAACCTAGACCTCCCCCATTGCAACTTGAGACCATTGCTCCTTGTTCTGTCATCTGCCACCACTGAGAACAGCCGAGCTCCATCCTCTTTGGAACCCCCCCTCAGGTAGTTGAAAGCAGCTATCAAATCCCCCCTCATTCGTCTCTTCTGGAGACTAAACAATCCCAGTTCCCTCAGCCTCTCCTCATAAGTCATGTGCTCCAAACCCCTAATCATTTTTGTTGCCCTCCGCTGGACTCTTTTCAATTTTTCCACATCCTTCTTGTAGTGTGGGGCCCAAAACTGGACACAGTAATCCAGATGAGGCCTCACCAATGTCGAATAAAGGGGAACGATCACGTTCCTCAATCTGCTGACAATGCCCCTACTTATACAGCCCAAAATGCCGTTAGACATCTTGGCAACAAGAGCACACTGTTGACTCATATCCAGCTTCTCGTCCACTGTGACCCCAGGTCCTTTTCTGCAGAACTGCTACCTAGCCATTCGGTCCCTAGTCTGCAGCAGTGCATGGGATTCTTCCATCCTAAGTGCAGGACTCTGCACTTGTCCTTGTTGAACCTCATCAGGTTTTTTTTGGCCCAATCCTCTAATTTGTCTAGGTCCCTCTGTATCCGATCCCTACCCTCCAGGGTATCTACCACGCCTCCCAGTTTAGTGTCATCTGCAAACTTGCTGAGAGTGCAGTCCACACCATCCTCCAGATCATTAATAAAGATATTAAACAAAACCGGCCCCAGGACCGACCCTTGGGGCACTCCGCTTGAAACCGGCTGCCAACTACACATGGAGCCATTGATCACTACCCGTTGAGCCCGATGATCTAGCCAGCTTTCTATCCACCTTACAGTCCATTCATCCAGCCCATACTTCTTTAACTTGGCGGCAAGAATACTGTGGGAGACCGTATCAAAAGCTTTGCTAAAGTCAAGGAATAACACATCCACTGCTTTCCCCTCATCCACAGAGCCAGTTATCTCATCATAAAAGGCAATTAGATTAGTCAGGCACGACTTCCCCTTGGTGAATCCATGCTGACTGTTCCTGATCACTTTCCTCTCCTCTAAGTGTTTCATAATTGATTCCTTGAGGACCTGCTCCATGATTTTTCCAGGGACTGAGGTGAGGCTGACTGGCCTGTAGTTCCCCGGATCCTCCTTCTTCCCTTTTTTAAAGATGGGCACTACATTAGCCTTTTTCCAGTCATCCGGGACCTGCCCCGATCGCCATGAGTTTTCAAAAATAATCAGTGGCTGGGCCAAGAATAGAATTCAGCAGGCCAGACACTCAGAGTCAGGCTTCAATGACAGATTTCCACCCTCTTGTGGGAGCTCAAAGGCACTCCACGTGTAAAAGAAAGCAGTTATGAATGGAGGAATGAGTAACACTCTAGCACTAGATCACGGTGCTCTGAAGAGAAAAATAAAGACATCATGATGCTTTGTCTGGAAATTCATAGACTTAAATCTGAAGATGCTGGAGTAATATGACCAAGCAGCACAAAAATAAAAGTGAGATATTGCAGTAAGGAAGCATTGAAAACTTCTACAATGAAATACAGAAAATACAAATAACAAATCAATCACTCTGTTTTTGGTGCTACTGCAGAAAAAAAATTCTTTCCACTAATAAGGTTCAACATTAGTATTCAAAGCAATGTTTGAACGAATGTCAAAAGAAAGTGTGATTCCCCTGTCAGAATACTTAGAAGGTCATTGATTTATATTATAAATTAAATGCAAATACATTAATGCACCATTAAGGTTTAGAAATCAAGCATTCAAAGGCAAGGTCAAAAGTTATGGTTTCTAACATAGCACTAGCTTCGCTATCTTGCAGCTCTCATATTTTTATAGCATAGATTTAACTAACAGTCACCTACTTCCCATTTATGTTACTTAACACATACACCAGAGAAGGCATCTGGTCGAAAAATGGTAATGTTTTTGCATACTTTTTTAAAAAATTGTTTTTCAAAATTTTCCTCACTTTTTTTGTTATTTCGATAACAAACAAAAAA